ATAATCCAATAAAAACTATCAAGTATAAACTTACACACAAATAATAATAATGTGTCAATAAGTAGTGACTCTCTCAAATGATAGGTCATGCATGGGTTCAAGTCTCATTAATTAGGAGACATAGGCAGTGTTTCGGAGTAAGTTAATTTGTTGTTTCAAAAAAAATGCCTCCATCACTCCATGTTGCCGCCGCCGCCGACTTATCACAGTCTGTTCCGTCAGCTCTTCGNAGTTAATATGCTGTTTCAAAAAAAAATGTGTCGATAAGTAAAATCATAATCAAGAATAACAAAAATACCATCTCCACAGTCATTATCGGGTGACACCACCATTTTCTCGATAAGATTTTCAATTAATTTACACCAAAAGAAATACAAAAACTTCTTCATCCACAAAAACAACATGCCAATATGCTACACATAATGAATCAGACATCCATTATAAAGAAAAGGGCAATACATCACATAAAAGGATTGATAGTTGTGCAACTTGAAGCAAAAGGGTGGGTGACAGCCAAACGATAAATTGCAAAATCCAAATACACTCCTGGTGGTTCCCAACATATGAAAGCATAAAAAACAAAAATAAGTGTGCTAACAAATCATCACTCATGTAAGATATCAACATTCAAACATTCATGAGGGAAGTACCACATGTTTGCCGTAAAGAACCTGCATTTTTCACTTTTATCAGTAACATCATCATATCACTGGGAGTCAACAAACGACATTCGTTTAACAGCAGCACCAGGCCCGAAGGCGCAATTAAAAAATGCATATTCATCTCTGGTCTCTTCAAACGGAACCCATCTCATTTCGCCAAAATCCAGTTCATGAATCTTGTTTGAAGAATCTGTTGAAATGGTTTCCATCACATAAAGTTTTTCATCCGAACTTACGAACTTCGGGTAATAGAGTTCTTGCTTCAGAAAATCCTTGGTTTTGAGTAACATCAGTTTCGGCTCTGGATTGAGTCTCATTTCACATATATGTCTTACGTCCCATGGATGACTACCATAGTGTAACGTATATATCTTCTCCTTGAAAGCATGTATATCAAGGATGTGGAAATTGGAGGACACGTCATTCCAATCTCCTTTACCCGCAATAGAAAACCATATTTGACGGGAGAATCTCTTTGTGATAAGAAACACATATTTAGATATTGAAGATGAAAAGACAAGGATAGCTCTGAGTATTGATACACTGCTATAGACATCCGAGGGGACAAAAGGGAAATGAAGTTCATGCCTGGTGATAGGATTCACAAGCCAAAAGTCGCTGGTTCCCCACCCATACAAGATCAAGTAACAACAAGTTAATCCAACATAGATCGTGCGCCTAGAATGAGGAAGTGTTATTTTGAAGTTTCTTCCATCAAAGTCCTCTAGCCAGTACTCTTTCTTCTTATAATGGGTATTACGGATATACATCAACATGGGTGGTTTGGATGCCATAAACATGTTCTTGTTAGAGAGTGAGAGTGACCTCCATAACTTGCAAACTCGGTTGAATGCAAAAAAATCAATAACTCCCAGTTTCATCATAACTAAGAAAAGCACATCATGGTTAGGGTTTGACCAAGGTGTCGAACTACCATGGTCACAAGTGTTGATCCTCTTATTGCTAGATACACTATCATGATTTTGGCTCCGAATCATTGTCTTAGCCTTCCCTACAATCGTAAAAGAAAAATAAACAAGTGTTGTATACAGGGAACCAGCATACACATATATACAAATGCTGCCCTTCCCAAATAATTGAACTTTACGAAGAAAAAAAATGCAAATAAATAGAAAACAATCTCAGGAATGAACATCAGAACATGATCTTAATGTGAAAACAAAGCACAAAAGGTTAATTAGCAGTTATAGAAGAGATGGTGATCTCAAAAATGTAGTACATTGAAACTGTAGATCCACATGCTATAAATGTTATTGATACACTAAAAAGTATTTCCTCGACAAGGTGATGACTACCACACTTTCTCTCATTGCCCTAATGTTTTTTCCCAATAACAATCCATGCTTCTTGAATCAACACCTTACATGTAACTTAACTACCAAATTTAAACAATCTAACAAACTAATTAAAATCACTTTATCAGTATAATGATAATCAGTTTCATATCATCACATGAGTTATGTGTTATGAGTTATGACCCAATTACCCAAATAAAAAACAAAACTGTTGTATTAAAAAGAACGCCAGATCCTATTTCACGATGGTGTTGTTAATCATATATAGATTTGTACACAAGTACATGTCAAATTTTAATTATGAAACTCCAAAATAAAAGAAAATATCTAAAGAAAAACTATGCTGCTATAATGGAGACATAAAATAAAAAAATCGGCATCATATAAAACTGAAATGGACCACATAGTTTATAAGCAAACAGGACACAATCAAAGTCTTATTGATACTTAAAATTGAAGAGCGTGAAAATCATTGAAATTAATAAATTTTCAAAGTTGGAGTGAATTGGATTATGCAGTTATATGTATAAGAACAATATGCATAATTTTTTTAGGATTTGATATTGATGAAATTGAAAGTCACTGGTCACGAGTTAATAGGAGAAAACGGATATGTGATCACACATTAACATCCAAATTGTGTCAAATCACATGCACCAAATCTAGATCTACTTGAGAAATAATTTACCTAAACGTGTGAGAAAGTTTTGGCGATGGATAGTAATTTAACAAGTAATCTGCAGAACCCTAGTTCTCCATCATGCATCAATTGGGATAGTAAGGGTTGCTTGGGTACATATCAAAGATTTCGTCTCCCGATTTGCGACCCTTCCAACTCCGGATACTCCCGGGCGAGAGACATCAATTGAAGAATTCTGGGTGAGGTAATTGCTCGTTTAGTGGCGTGTAAATTGGAAACTTGTGGAAAATAAGCCGTGTAATGCCATGCGAGTTTAAAAGGATAGAAGGGTACTTTCGGTAAATCACTTATATAATTTAGGCAGAAAAATAAGCTTTGCAGGGGGCTGAGCTAATTATGACACATGCGGAGGATCTAGAATTTGTGTTTGTTGGGGGGCACAAGAAAAATATCACACATTTTTTTTTTCAGGTTGGGTTGAAACGGTTTTAGATACCGGTAGTCTTGAGCATAAAATCAAAAACTGAAAGACGTATAATTCTCAAGCAAATATATACTTAAGTAAAGATGTATAATCTCATGCAAATACTTAGATCTTAAACTTAAAGTAGCACTTATTAGTTGTTGATGTTACATCACGATTTATTTTCGAGATTCACTAAATGTAACTAAATTAACACTTGTGAGCTCCTTTATTCATTATTGTGATATTTGTTACTATTATTTATGTCACTGGCAAGTTATGAAATAGGGAAAATGACAAAAATGTCCTACAAAGTTTTTAGGGTTAATCGATTCAGTCCCTAAAGTTTTTGTCGGGCTTTATGGGTCCCTAAACTAGGATACGACCTGCTCTTTTAGTCTCTTTCAACCTGTAATAGCCGGTTCAGTAACCATTCAGACCAAAAAAACTTACATTGTTCCCCTATAAAGCTAAAAAAAATAAGTTCAGAGATCAAATGCAGTCTCATCTTAATTACTTGCTTCATATTCTTCTTTGATTTGCAAAATTCTCAAATTAATTGCTTTGTTCTCGTCTGAAATATTCGAAAGTAATATGCCTGCACTGATTATCCGTCTGGAACGCCATTGCTGAAAAGCTTCATAGCAGAAAGCAGATCAGATCTTGTTTCATTACTTAAGTTACGATCCTCCTCTCACTGGTTATCCTTTCCGAAAATTTCAACTTGTTTGCTACGTATTAATTCTAAAGTTAGTATTCGTTTCATGTACTTTCGTTTGATGAGTTTCTACTTTTTCTTGACAAATTAGGAGATATATGCATAAAACGTCATTGTTTACTATCATAATCAAACGAATTAATCACATAGTTTTATTCGTTTGCTGTACTTTTCGTTAGATGATCTTTGCTTCTTTGTTATGGATTGTATATCTTCGTACGTAATTAATTAATTAATTAATAATATGAAATGTATCATTTTCGCACAAGGAAAAGTTGTAGGTTAAGATGGTTCAACCAACCGGTAACCGAACACCGAACACCATTCACGGAGGAGGAAGCGGAACGACTTCTAGCTTATCATCGTGAATTTGAAAACGATGGGCTAACATCGCCAAGCTTTTCCCTGGTCGAACTGATAACGCTGTAAAGAACCATTGGCATGTGATCATGGCTCGAAGGCTTAGAGAAAAGTATACCAGGATGCATGGCCTTCAGAGAACTAATGATGATGCTACTCATCATCATCATGCATTTACGAAGAGATATCAATACACTTATTTCCCTTATGAGCTTTCAAGAAATCTTGCATCACATCTACAACTCTCCATGAATCTGTTTCATCAATTCAAGAAAAATGAAGGTATACCAACTAACCTAGAATTTGTATTGTCTGTTTTTACATGTTGGGATTAGATCAGGACGATGCCATTTGCATGTCTACCAGTTCCATTCAATTCAGTCCAAAAAACATACAAATCAAGCGCATTGGTATCAATTTGTTATTATTTTAGTTTTGATTATTTTTTATTATTAATTGATTATTGGCCTTTAGATAAACAAGATCAACGGGTGGAGTTTTACAATTTTCTCCCTATAAATACGGACTCTAATGGGAGTGAAGTACTCGACCATGCAAAAAATCCCACTTTATGGGAAGGTGAGACTGCATTTGATCCCCGAACTTATTTATTTGGCTTTATAGGGGCACAATGTAAGTTTTTTTTGGTTTAAATGGTCACTGAATCGACTATTACAGGTTGACAGCACTACAAGAAAAAGACCCTTTTACGACACGCAAACCACGACACTCATTGATTCATGTTACGCAAGAGAGAGTGACATTAAAAAAGTGTCATCTCTTTAAAAAATTTAAGGATTTAGGTCACGCGGTAGTGCGTACCCTTAAATTAGTGTGTCATGTAAAAAAAATTAAAAACACGGAGGGCACTTTATCTAAAATGTGCGTCCTCTGTGTATGTCGCTTTATGATTTTTACTCAAAACCCGAGTTCTTAAAAGGGGAAAATGAAATCCTCTTAAAAATCTAAAATTTTTAAATACCCGCTTCTAAGATCTCCCTTCATTCTCTTCTTCCCTTTCTCTCTGAAACCTTAATCACGATACCATTTCTGCTATACACCTCGACAACTCATATAATCGTTTCTATAATTTTTTCATAAAAACTCGCGTTCATTCCTGAAGATCACAGAATTGCGACCAACGACTAGGGCTTTTATTTCCCACTTACATATAATCGTAATTTTCATCAAGAGTTTCAAAAACACTTCCCCCACGTACGCTTTTCTTCTTCAATCTCACATCCATCTAGGGTTTTGGCATGCAAGAACTCTATTCGACTCATCACACATCAGCTATTAAGGGAAGACGCCAAAGCATTCATAGGCCGGATGTAAGTGCGTACAACATAATACGGGATGCTATCCCGTACTCTATTTTGGTAAACAACCGTATTCTATTTATGTTTTTCTAGTAGGGAACCATTTTGTTGATTGTTTCTGTAAAGATTAGGGGGTTTTTGTGTTTCCAATTTAGGGTTCTAAATCATGACTTCTGAATCATAGTCTGGCGACTCTCGGTCATTGCTCACCACCACTTTCATTCTCTGTTGATAATGGTTTCTGTATGTTGTATGATTTGCTTCAGAATTCATGTCAATCTACGTTTCATCTTGTTGTATGTCAATTTTTCTAGAATGAATAAATGATACTATGATGATGCAGTTTGAAATTAATTTAGTTTCCTTTCTTGGTGAAATTTTGCCCACAATGTGTTTGTGAAAATGCCACTTTTGAAAAGAGAAAGTACTATAGATACTATAACAATTTTGGTAAGAGCTTGTTTTGTGTTCTTGTGTGTGTGTGTGTTTGGTCTTTGTCCATCATGTGGGAAATTTTGATGGTGTTTTAGTTTGATAGATCTAATTTCAAGTGAGAGTACATGGTTTATATTTCT